TGAACTGGGAGCCATCCTTCCTCTGTGCCATCGGATACACCAAGTACCTGGTGCTCTTTGGGCACCGGGAGGCAACCAGTGTGCTGGGAGAGATTTGTATCAAGGTGGGGTGGTTACAGCTTTGGCTCCTTGGTTAATCTCTCTCTCTCGTTTTGTTACACATTCTCTGAATCGTGCGTTGTGCTTTGCGGAGTCTTAAGTATGATTTAAATCTTCAGGGTAAAAGGCTGTCGGCATAGGCTGCCTAAACCCTCATATATACAAACTGTTGCATGTGTTAGAGAAATCAGACGGAAAGTGTAAGAGCGGCTTTGAGCGTCCGTCCAAAGAAACACGCTACTCAGAGCCTGTAGGTGCTCAGCACCACCGGCACTAGCTCATCTTTCACTGGGGACTTTCAAGGACAGGGACTGCCGAGGCAGTGGCATCTGCGCTGAGCTCTCACCATGGACCTGTGCTCCCAGGCAGGTTTTCCTTTCGCAGTGGAAAGTGACTGAGAGAGTGTAGTGACTGGCATGGTTCATAAGATTGTAGGTAATAGGACATATGCTAGTACGCAATAGATTTGCAGCCCTGTCCTCAAGTGCTGAGATTGCTTTCATAGTCAAAAGATTATTGTATCTGCTCTCTGGCATTCAGCATACATGAAATGAAATCATCTTTAAAGGGTCTTTGCAGGCAAGGAAAGACACTTCTTACCTTTGTACACCCTTAAAAATAACAAATTAGCTTTCCTCTGGGTGTTTTTCTTCTTTTATTCACTGGTAAAAAATTAGATGTAGAGATAGACATAGTTACAGGTATAGATAGAGAGGTACAGTGTTGTACTTCATGACCAGAAGTTATTTAATGTCTCCTTTTTGTCTTATATGTGTAGTACAAAACGCATATGTACCGGATGGTTTTGTGCTGTAATCCTGTTTCTGGAAATATCATTACTGCAGTCATGTGAATGAATACACACACACACGCATGCACACAAAACAGGTAAACATATATACATGTATTTACACATGTGCACACACAAACACTCATGTGCTGGATTTGTCTTTTAAAGGAATGCTTCCAAGTTGTAGTCAGTCTTAAAAAACAAGTTAGTCATTTTACCCACTATACCTGACTTCAGTATAGCTGCCAACAGTTTTACAAAAAAAAGTACATCTCTCTCTCTATATATATATGGGGAGTATGCCTTTTGCTTTGTAACTAATCCATACCATTAACAGGGTGAAACAGGAAACTGACTGCCTATAAAAGTGTTACACATACAAAGAAACCATATTCATTAGAGTTTAAGAAGACTGAAGGAAATATTTCCCTCTGATCTGCATAGGCTGGTTTTGTCACCTTTGCAGAGTCTGAGCATCAGCTGCCTGGAGAGAGTCTGATTCACTTCAACTGATAGATTTTCTAAGAAAAAAAGCACTCTTTTATGTTGCATTCATCTTCCCCTAATCAGAAAATTATCTTCAACATTGCAATGTAAAGTAACAGCCTAAATCCGCCGCTTTCTCAGACAGCCCAGCATCTGTGCTTGCCAAGCATTTTGACGGGACGGCTCTCTGTGTAAAGTGTCGCTGCATCCCTACTGCCAACAGGACCCCGGTCCCAGTATGTCCTCTGAGATGGAGGGTCTAAGAGGAGCAGGGACACAGCAATGGAGCACCCTGGCAGAGCTCTCCAGCTCAGGGATGGCCAGCTGAGCTTGCAAAGATGACGCTCCAGTTTTCATATCTCAGGTATCTTTTAAGAGATTGCCATTGTTTCTAGAGGAAAGGCTCTTTCTGTGTGGCGGTCTTGATATTCTTTTCAGTGGATCAGTCCTGATTTAACTGTACATTGAACTTTATTCTCACACACTTGAGCTGTATGCAGTTTTGACCCTTCATTGGAAACTCACAAAGCCATTGAAGAACGACTTTTGTGGTTTTTTTTCCCCAGACATTTCCAAGAGATGTCTCGTCTCTGGTCTGCACTGCAGTTACAGAGCTCTTCTTCCTAGAAAAGTAGATATTACCAAGAGGCAAAATGCTTCCTGTTTGTTTCCCATTTCAGCAGGCCATGACTAACTGAAGCAGTGCACACTTCATGCTCTACCTGACAATCAGAACATAGCCTATTTTTGTTTAAGAATGAGTATGTATGCAATAGCAGTACTAAAAACCAGGTTTTTTGCTCATTGAGTTACAAACAGTTACTCTCCATTTATTCCTGAAAAAATACACTTGGTTTGGCACAGGACGTGTTTCAGAGAGATTCTCTGGAAGTCCTTTAATTGTCTCAGCCCACTTGATATTCCTGGGTGGATTATTTGGGCTCGGGGTTAACTGTGGTGCCTAAAAAGAAACAATCTTTTTCTCCTTGCTGTTCTGGTCTTGTTCAATGTCTAAGCTTTATTTTTCAAAGGTGACTATATGCTAAGTGCCTTCCAGCCTAACTGACCTCATTGTGTGCTATGCCTGTTTATCGAGGCTGTCCTGTCCCTGCCAGTCCCGCACTGAAAGCTGACTGCAGTGGTGCAGTTTCCTAGCTGAACGGGAATGGCTTGCCACGTGCATTTTTAATATCTATTTTGCTGAAGTTTCTTGTAACTTTTTCTCCAGGTAAATTCTGGAATTGTAGAAAAATTGTTTATCTCTGGCAAGGCTCTTTATAGAGCAGTGAGAAGGAAAAGAGGGGTTGATGCACATGTTTTAGGGGAGAAAATGGCTCTATTTGTAAAAGCAAGTCAGATCTTGTTCAGCATTCCTCCAGTTAGTCACAGACTCCAACGACCTTGTGAGAGATGCAGACAACAGGAGAACTCTCCTGGAGAAGGATGATTGTATTTAAACCATTATATATTGTACACGTTTGGGTGAGGTTTGGATCCCAAGTTAAAACACGTCTCTTGATTCCAAAGCTGTGAGCTTTGCAGCCTGACAGCATTCAGAGGGAAAATGCAAATAACTGAGCAAATAACTGAGCCTGCTGGTTGTGTCCCATCTTAGATTAAAAAGTACTGCGGCTGGTGACCTTGTCTTCTCCTAACTGTCCATTTCAAAGAGCTGTCACAGCTGTGATAGCAGGCAGCTGCAGCTAGTGGGAAGATAGCAGCTGGTCAGAGCAGCCGCTGTGGTCCAGGGTGAACGTAGGTGGTGATTGTGACAGGTGAAGGTGCGAGGGCAGGTCGAGTGGCACCAATTCTCCTCCTACACACGATGCTCCGGGGAGCTGGAGCAACAGGTAGGAGTAGCATCTCCTCTGTGTATGATAATTAGCAGAGCCCCGAGAGACTCCAGGAGCCCTCACCTCTGGGATTTCCAGAATGCTGTTGGCTTGGAAATACCAGAAGAACAACCCTTGAACCATCCTGGAACTGCAGGTTTCTGGAAAAAACATTCTGCTTGCTTGGAGAAGCAAGTAGGTTGCTTGAGAAACAGTTAAATTAGATTTTTTTTTTAAACTATTAGTTTATTTCTCTGCCATGAGAAAATTGATTTTTTGGTCTGATTTTCAGATGAAAGATTAAGTACATTTCAGCCATGATACTTTTGAAAACAGCTTTCCCTAGGCTATGCCTTTAGAAAAGAGTGAGCTGCCAGCCCGTATTGAAAACATCTGACAATGATAGTTTAGAAGAGGAATAACAACAACAACAAGAGTCATAATTTGGCCCAGCCTATGTGGAACAATAAGAGCTAGTAGATGTATAAATAGGTAAGTTTGCTCTGTGACCTTATTTGCAGTGTGCTGCATCATAGCTGTGTACTTTGTAGCTTTGAGGTTTTCCCCAAATTAGAGCTGCATCAGTGAAAGCTACTAAAGGCAAACACCCCAGCTCTGAAATGAATTGCACAAACCACCATTCAGAGCTGATTCTCAGAGAGCTCCGGGTTTTCACCTCTGGATCCCAGGCTGTTTTATCAGGACTTGTGTTAGCTCTGGAGCCAGCGGTGGCCACAGCCTTGATGTGCAGGGGTGTGCCGAGGCAGTTTTTTGGGCAAATGGGTGGTGCTAGTAGAGGCAGTAGAAGCTAAGGCTTTGCTGCTTCTCCCCCACCCACATAGATCTGTGGAGGCTGAAGTCTTTGTAGGATCAAGCTGTAGGCATCTGAAAGCTACTGCTTTCCTCATACTAGTGCTAAGTACCAGAGCAGTTCAAGAGATTTACAATGCCTTGGTGCTCTGGCTACCGGCAAGCAAACCCTTCCTTCCCGCTTTGGAAACATGATCTTCACGTCCAACCAACAGCCCAGATCCCGAACTCACCCCCCAGCAGCGTACAGCAGCAGTGAGCTGAGGGTTAGGCTCGGCTCTTACAGAACAGAAGTACTTAACCGGGTTTGGACTCTGATGCTATCTTCGTACCCCACATGAGGTTTGGGTAAGCTTCAGTCAGGGCACAGATTTGTCTGGCCTCATCTGTACTGTGAACTGCAGCTATGGAGGTCTGACACTGAACAGTCCTTTACTGGAAATTGGTAATACTGATGGAACTAACGGAGTTCTAGAAAAATCCTCTGCAAATCTAACTTCACAGAAGAAAAGAGCCTTTCTGTGGTCATTGTCTAGGCACTCAGCAGAATCCTGTATGTAGGATGGTGTTTATCATTTCCCACTCGGTTCAGTAGGACATTTCCCACATCTTAGCACATCACAGAAAATATGTGCCTGCTCCGAACAGTGGAACAATCCCCCTCACTACCAAAAGTGTTATTTCGCATAGTCAAAGGCTCTGGAAATCCGAGAATCTTGGCATCTCGCTGCCTTCAGTAAGGATGAAGCTGATAAAAGGGGGTGATTTAAATGTATTAAGTTTATCCTTTGCACAAGTGGTGACCTGTTTAAAAAACAAACCAACCCAGAGCAACTATTTTGGTTGACTTTCCAGCACGCTGGCCCTTTAAGGGAGCTGTAACAGGACACCTGAAGTCCTGAAGAAGTGTAGCTGAGGTTTCCATGTCTCTAAACTGGCTGGTGTTTTCTTTTTTTCCCTCCTCCCCTTTTCCCTTCCTCCAGTCCCAGTTTAATTTGCTGAACAACAGCATGGATCAGAGCATCGGCAGCAGAGCAGCCTCCACCAGCCCGTACAACTCCGAGCACACCTCTAATGTCCCAACGCATTCACCCTACTCGCAGCCCAGCTCTACCTTCGACGCCATGTCCCCAGCTCCCGTCATCCCCTCCAACACTGACTACCCTGGTCCCCACCACTTTGAGGTGACTTTCCAGCAATCCAGCACGGCCAAGTCAGCCACTTGGACAGTAAGTTGCATGTGTTCTTGCCTTCACTAAAGAGAAGCTTTCTAGCGTAGTAAATGTTTTCAATGAATCTGCTGCAAACACTTGAATGTGTTAGTGTTGTTTTGTGGAGGGATGCACAGGGCACGTTTGTGTGTGGCAACTGTTGCAGTATCAGCTGCGAGATGCATGGTTATTGTGCAGCCACAGCCTGACAGCTTATTTTGCCTGACATCTGTGCAGGCGGCAAATAGAGTTTGACCCTGAAAAGCAAAATATGCGGGAACCATCAATGCTTACATTTAAGGATTTTTTTTTTTTTTCCAAATGGAGAAAAGACTGTTAACACAGTGATTGGGATATAACTCCTGGCTCAGAAATTCCCTAAACTGTAGGTAAATGTCCCTGAAAATCACAAAATTGGAAGAAAGTACTGGGAGAAGTACCTGCCTTGTTCTCATAGTATTTCCCTAAGCATTTGCCAGCAGCTGCTGTCAGAGATGGGGCAATGGGCTAGATGGACCTTTGCTCTGACCTACTCGAGCTGTTCTTTGCTTTACCTTAAATTTTTACTTTTCATTTATAACCCTTTTTCATTTCATATATCAGAAGAATGACTTACTCTCTAGAAGCTAGAGCAAAATAACAAAGGATATTTTTAATCACAAATGGATTACTACACAGCATCATGCTGTGTGAGATATGAACACAGTAGCCTGATACTACTGAGCTGAAGTTTGGTCCAATGTAGATTTTATTGCATGTCCTAAAGGCAGTCAGAGGAGTCATCTGTACAGAACAAGAGACCTAAGAGTTATTTGGAGAATACAACAGCTCTTTTCCTTTTTGTGGAAAAAGGTCCTAAATTCACATTCTGGCTTTTGAGTTCATATAAAACTGCCCTTATTTTTTTAAAAAGCATTTTCAGCTATTACTTAAGGTATTTCTGCTATAGATATTTCTTTGGCAGTGAGGTGTGCACCTCAAACCCTCCTCACTCAGCAACTCCAGCCCCCCTCAGGTTTCTGCCACCTGGGAGATGTCTTCATGGTCACACTTGAGACAGGCTTTTTTTCCTCTGGGAAATGTTAGCAGAGCAGAAACGCTGAGGTGAGACAACTGACACAAAGAGGGAGCAATGGGGTTTCCTTTGAGGATGCGATTTGACATTATCACTAAACAGGCAGCGCAGACCACGAGCGATATATCAGCCCAAGGTGTGATAATGACTTTTATTTTTGGAAGCTGATGTGTTTAATTGCCAAGAATTCCTTTCCACAGTAGACAGAAAGCATCTTTGGATGCTTATGTGCGCACAACCTTCCCCCCCCCCCCCCCCCCCCCCCCCCCCACGCCGGCACGGCCTCCCGCTCTGTCGTCTGGATGCTGTTTTGCTAGTTGCTTCTGGGTGTAGCAGTGGAAACTCTGCAGCTGGTATTTGTTGGTGAGAGCATGGCAGGAAGAGCTGATCTTCAGCAGCTCTTGCTAGCTCTTTGGTCTGTCTCTACAGCTGAGCTCTCCTGTGAAAACCAACAGGCAGGCAAAGTAATGAAACCCTCTCTGCGACTTCAGGTGAGCTCGCACAAAGGGTGAAGCAGGCATCCTGCAGCAGGCTGGTTCACTTCAGGCAGTGCCATCAGCATTCAGGGACCATGAGCACTGCTAAAGCTGATCCCTGGCAGCTAGATAGCCAAGTATTTGGATGCGCAGTCAGGATAAGGAGTCATTGTCTCTGAAGCAAAGGAAGGCAGAGTTGATCAGTACATGACTGCACTGACATCTTGGCTATCTGAAGTAGTAGAAGGATATCTCAAGCAAACCAGCAGTGAACTGGTGTTTGAATAGATCCTAGCCAACATCATGGCTGAGTTAGCAGGGCAGAGTCCATATGTCAAGTCACCAGAGTTTCATGAATTCACAGGTGACTTGTGGTTACTGGGGGCTTGGGACAAAATCCATGTGCTCATTGGTGGTGATTCTGAAAACCCAAAACATCTGAATGGAAACAAAAGAGACAATAATGCAGTGCATCTGGTTCCAGCTATCCTAACGTGGGAGGAAGAGGGCTGGGAAGTGTCTGATATTCACTTGCCACCATCGCTAGCTGGAAATGCTTGGGGGATAGCTTTGTGATGGAGAGGAGCTGCAGTCCACGCTACCAGCCACATCTGGGGGGGCAGGGCCAGGCTGCGTGCTGCAGAATGCCTTTGGACAGCCCTGTGGACCTGAAATCTATTCATACGGGTGAAAATAAGGAGAGAACTCCTTTAAAAATACGCTTTTTCCTTGCCTTTACTTAGCAGTAAAGAAATACCCTTCCCTTATCCCAGACGAATTTTGCAGCTGCAGTGAGTAAATCAAAACAGACACGGGCTTTTTTGGCCTCTTGTCCCCAGGCCAGCAAAGGATGGAGCAGCAAGACGCTCCCTGAGCCAGTTCCACATTGTGAGCAAGCCAGTGACTGCACCTTTCCTTCACTGGCGCCTTCCCCTGTGGGGATGCACTGTCCAGCTGGTAACTGCATCCCAGCCTGGAAATGCCCTGTAGTTTCTGGGACAGGCTGTTGCTGGGAGGAGAGGTTCAGGCATGTACTTGTTGCACTGATGAAGTCTGCACTGGACATCACCCGTACAGCACTAACTCCAGTCTAAAACCTTGTCCTGAGCGTGGGTTGCTCCACATACAAGGAGGAATCGGTTATATTTGGAGGGAGAAAGCAGGTGTGTAATTCAGTTCTCCTTCTGCTATGGCAGAGCAGTGACCAGGGACCTGGGATCTTTTCAGGACTCCAATTATACTGAGCCCAAAGTGTGTCAGCATCATCCCGTGCTGACTGTAATCCTGAAGCTGCTGTGTCCTGCTTGGAGCTGTGCTAATCTGGAAGGGAATGCTTTCATTCTCGAGACTTTGCAGTGAGATCTGCTTTGTACGTTACAGTAGCCAGGGCCACGCTGACACTGCCATCCTAGCCCCTACACCTCACGGGAGCAACTGGACTGTGAGATAGACTCAGCCAGCCCGCTGTAGGCAGCTCTAAGCAGCTGCAGTGAATGCACCCCAGCAGCCAAAGCTGGGAGCTGACATTTCTGAATGCTCTCTTGGAGGGTGGATACCTTATGGGAAATGATTCAGACCAGAAAAGTTAAATATCTGAACTGTCTTAAATATTTGACAGGGCAGTTCATTAAATGTGTGGACCTCCGAACCAAATGCCAGGGTTGTTATGAATTCCCTTGAAGGAGGCTGACCGCAGTACTAGCATTAGTCGGCCCACATATCAAAGTACTGAAGTTGAGCATAGCTGAGAACAGAAGTGGATCAGCAGGGTCTTGCATGCTGCAAAGTGTAGGATTTGAAAGAGTAACTCCCACAGGACCTCTGAAGCGAGTGTAAATTGTCAGACACTTTGAGGTTACCATCTACACAAAGAAGGATCATCCTGCATTGACAGTGAGATTCACTCCAGCTTCTCCTAATTGACAGCCAACACGACTGTGGAACTTTCTATTTTCTGCTGAAAGGCCGGGCTGCTTCCTTCCTTCCATTCAGCTTGAAATCTGAATGCTTTATTACCCAGATAGGTACTGAACTCAAGAATGAGTATCTGACTGCAAGAAAGAGCCAGAGTAGCCAAAACAGAGCCCAGTCTGTTGAAGTAATATAAATATCTGATGCTCTTAAAAAGCCATCCTCTCAGAGCGAAGCCGAAAGAAACATAGTTAAACATAAAGAAGAAGTTGTTTAATGTTGCATTATATACCTAAGAAAACAATATTACACTATTAAAAATTAAAACTGCTACATTTAAAAATCTGTCCTGGTTAAGAAGGGAATGAATTCAGCAAAAAATCATACGTCATCTATTGTCAGTCAGTCAATATGCAAATAATGATCTATGTGTGCAGTATGATTATATAAATAATGAATGTATGTATGGAAGTGTACAAATAAAAATGTGAAAACTGTTAAAAAATACAGGCACTTGGCAAGGAAAACTAAAAGTTATGGTCAGTAGGGTGAGGAACAGTGACATCTGAAAACTCAGTAACGCTCCAGTCTTTGTCAGGAACAGTTAAATTAACAATCAAGGTGCATGAAAGCACAGGAACGATTCTGTTCAGCATTTTGAAAGAAACGACAATAAAAAATACTTCCTATTTCATCAGTAGCTGAGGAAACCTCATGGCTTTTAAATATTTCAAGGCTAACTGCACCAAATAATTTACAGCAAGAACACTGGAAGAGTTCACCGCAAATTCCCCTGAATCGGTCTTGTCATGCATCATTTCAGAGCGCTGGGGAGCCCTTCATGATGAGGAGAAAAGACTGTGGCAGACCAGAAGTTCTGTAGGTCTCTTACAATGTTGGGGCAAATCATTCAGAATGCAGCCAATGAAGAATTAAAAGTCGGATGCATAGGCAATACCAAACCAAATAATTTTATGGAAATAGTCTTGTCAAACTATTTGACATAGTTCTTAGAGTCATAAGCTTTGGATTATAAAAGTGTATAACTTAATAGATTCATATTTTTACTGAATCCCTCTGGATACACCAGAGAGGAGAATCAATATTATCCATACTCAGGATAGCACAGTTTACACCAATGAATGGATCAGCTAGAAAAGGAAAAGTAGCAGGGAATCACATCCCATATTCAAGAGAAAGTCCCACAGGACCCGCTTGGACTCCCTACTTGCAGTGCCGTTACCCATAGTCTTGAAAAATCTATGAATTAACTGTTGGTAAAATTTGCAGGTCAAACAAAAAATGGTAAATAGTGTTGGAGGCAACTTAGCCTACCCACTGGTCTGTATGGGGGGAGGTCACTGGAGTGCTGTACAGGCAGCACAGCTCAGTGCACAGCGAGACATCAACAACATGAATATTGGTACCACATTTGGGAGCAGAGACTTTGAAGGAGCCCAGGGCTCATGGTCAAAGAAGCATTTGGACATGAGCTCCCTGTACAGTGGAGTAACTAGCTCAACAAGGGTCTAAACAGGAGAGCTGACAATGCAAGT